ATCAGTTTTAACAATTGCTGTGGATTGATGATTTCAGGTGGGTCTAGCGGTAGTAAACGGTCAATTGTACGCAGTAGGCGGATTCGACGGAACTGCGTATCTGAAAACAATCGAAGTATATGATCCGGAGCAGAATCAATGGAAACTATGTGGTTGTATGAATTACAGGAGGCTTGGTGGAGGCGTGGGAGTGATGCGAGCTCCACAAACCGAAAATTACATTTGGTAGCTCAGGCCCCCCTCTTCAGCCCAAATGGCTGAAACTCCTTTAACTCCTCTTACACCGGTAACGCCAGTTACACCTGTAACACCTCCTGCTCCTGTATCGGTTCCTGTTATAACTAGTACTAGAAAACGCTACCGCCGATCGATGAGCATTATATAAGTAATGTATGCATTTTGTAAAAGACTTTGCCTTTCTCTAAAATTCCGCGCGAGAGTATCCCTCATCGATTTTCGATGTTTAATTTATTACTTACATTTTTCTTCGTTTAATCTAGTATACAGGTCATGTTACGGAAAGAAGATACGGTTTATTCTATCGATTTATTGCAGCTGTTTCATATTTTTATTACATCACATTTTGTAAGAATCTTTATCAATGTTATTTGTATTTTATTGAGTAATACAATACAAATTCCAGCTGTTTTAGATTTAAATATCTAGACAAAGTATTCTTGAAAAATGTTTCATAATATATACATATGTATGCAAAGTTTTAAAGCATTTCATTACATGAAATAAAAGAAAGGCAAAATCTCTTTCCTGACATTCGCCAGAAACATATATGTTTTAAAAAGACATTTACAGCTTCCATTCTTAAATGATCGAAATAAAAGAGCTTAAGTTCTCAGTAGAGTATTGATTTAACTGCAAAGGGTCGTTTTTGTACCCAACAATTTAAGAATGTAATATAAGACAATGATTTCTGACTTTGTAAGGATAGTCTGCTTTAAATATGTAGATATCTCCTTTTGTTTATAAGACTGAATTTCAATCAGAGAATATTGAGATACTCATGATAAGTACAGTTTACATTCTCTTGTAAAAAAATATCAAGTTACATCGCATTTTCTATTAAAGTCTGTGAATAACTTGTGTATCTAATTTATTTGATGCATTTATGTTATCGACGACTTGTCACAAATGTCAACATACATGCCCAAGAAAAAGCAATATGTATAATACTTGAAAAGTATAAATTATTTAAACAAGACATTTGAAATCGTTTCTTCGCGTTGCTGCAAGAAGATGTCATTTAATCAACATCATCTGTTATATACATTTAAATATCTACAGAGAGGAGTAACCTTATCGTACAAAATGGTGATAGGGATCATTGACCAATAATCTCATGATGTAACATTCGTTGTAATTATGTAATAAGAATTAGCAGAATTGGCTAAAGATGACTAATATTATACTAACAAGAATAATTATTTATGACTTATTTTGATGAAAAATAAATAATACATAAGAATTACTGAAAGGGCAAAAACATTTACAAATTATTATTGTTACATGTATGAGATTGTTGAAGGCAGCAAAATGCATGTCTAGCGTAAGAACATATTGATGATGTAATGTAATTCTTTCTAAGCAGCCGATTGCAAATTCTACCGATGTTTATTCCGATTCTCTCGAATCTTACGACGGTTCATTAATGCATTTCTCAATTAATTTCTGGATTATTCCAAATAATCCATTCATATTTAAGTTCTAAACACGTGATATTATAGAGGTAAAATCGTTATTCAGTTAATGAAATTAAACATTATACAATAGTACAAATTATCGTAATTCGTGAACAAAGTTCAAATAAGTGTTCAATATTCAACTTTGTTTAATTAATTCTGAAGAAGTTGCAGCTATGTCCCAGGAGAATGTAATATTATATCGTTTCCACAATATTTTATATGCGTAATATTAGCGAATTATAATTTTAATTTATATCAAAAGTACGTAAGAGACCGATTCTTGTATTATACCGAATCTTAATGACACGTTTTCCATAAACAAGAAACATTGAAAGTGATTATGTTATTGATTAGCGCGCGTAGTCAATCCTAAGTAAAGCACGAAGTGTTAAGCGCAAACATATTGTTTTCTCATCTTACTAAACGAGATCAAAAACTTGTTCTGTACAACTGTTCAGTACAAAGGAAGAGTCATAGGATTTCTTTCCTGTTCTTAATCAATAAATTAAAGAAAGTGCGCATTAGAAATTTGCGCGAACCATTATGCAAAGCGTTATTGTGTCCTATATCTGCAAACAGCTAGAATATCCTAGAATTAATTTTTTCCCTAATAACGATATTTGTTATTCAGAAAAAGAATATTTTTTGTTAAAAATATTTTTTTAGATTTATATTATATGTAAATACATGGATTTGCTGATGTAGATTAATGAAATCTAAACTTGCGAAAAATTATATAAATTTTGAGATCGAAACAATTTGTTATCTAACAACTAAAATTAAAAAATAATTTATTTTCATAACTTTTTTTATTTCTCTTAAGTTTTGTTTATTTTATTGGTACATTTTCCATTTTTCCTATTTGTATTAATAAAAAATATAATATTTGAATAGCAAAATTTATAAAATTTATAAATCGGAAGAATAACATGACTTGTCATATTTTAATATCGCAATTAATTGAATTAACGAATGGAATTCATTCGAATAACAGACTGATAAAATAATAGCGTAAAGAAATAAAATAGACAAGAATTATTGCATTTTTCTCGTATTATATTTTTTCAATCTCGTATATTTTTCAATAAATCAATCTGTAGATATTCGAATAGAGAATTTCCCTGATGTGTTTTAGGAAGTTTTATAAATTCCCTATTTGTGAACCAATCGACTGATTCCACACATGCTGTCATTGGTGTCACATAATGTGATAACAATAATATCGGTGCAATTCAACATACAAGTACAGTTTATGTTATATGTGGGAGTCCGGATTTACAATAGGTGTTTCAAGTCTTAAGTCGTAAGAAATTAATCAATTACAATCGAATACGAGGAGAATTGACTGTGATTCGTCCCTTTCTTATGGCTTGAGACTTAAAAAAACCTATTGTAGATCTGAATTAAGTAGATAAAAAGTTTATTTTGATATTGTGAACAGTTACCGCGTTGCCGGTCGTGTTGTGTCGCACGACGTTGCACATTAGTGACATTCCAGTGATTACATGACTTATCAATTGACATTCCTCTTTTATTCGATATAAACTACAATGCTGCTAGTAAATCGTGCTGTTTTGTTTAATTTGTTATTCGCGTATTTTACTTTTGGTAATCCTGAGGAAGAACAAGGGATTAAATACGCCAACAAATGCGAAGGTTAATCTGGAGCAATCCATTCCTGAGACTTAAATGAATTATAGTAAATTTAATATGATTAATTGTGTGTGAATATCATTTTCTGTTAACTTAATTGACTGGAAGATCATTTAGAAAATTCTGTATTAATAACTTCAAATATACATTTAATTACGTAATTAAAATTACTCTCATAATTATTAATAAATCTCTATTACAGTTTGCAAAGTTTTAGCTACAGAACTTGAGGCTAGGCTAGATGAAACAGGAAAGACAAACGACGTGTTAGAAATTGGATATTCAGTAGATGATGTTGTGCCAAAGAAGAAAAAGGAATATAAGAAGTCGTAAGTGTCACTGATACAAACTGTATGACATCATTCTGATGAAACTAGTATAAATTTTGTCTTTCCAGGGAGCTACGATTAGTGGAGTCCATGGAAAATGTTTGTGAACGCATATTGGAATACAATATACACAAAGAACGTACAGACAGTACGAGATTTGCAAAAGGAATGAGTCAAACGTTCAAAACATTGCATGGCCTCGTGTAAGCTACAGTGCATAGATTAGTGTAATATGATCTTTTATGTAGAATATTCTGAAACTTAACATATATATGTATGGTTATAGGGATAGAGGAGTCAATGTAGATTTGGGTATTCCATATGAGTTATGGGACAAACCTTCTGTTGAGATAACTACTTTAAAAACGCAGTGTGAAGATTTGCTGGAAAATTATGAAGCTGACATCGAAGACTGGTATTACAACCATCAAAGAGAGATTTCTTTAATTAGGTAAGTCCTAGAATAATTAGGTGTCCTAGAATATATTTGTCGCAATTGTTGATGTATCATTTATGTAAATATATATTATGAAATCAGCGTTTATTTTTGATAATCATTTAGGTATTTATGTTCTGACCGTGCATTGAAGGGAAAAAATGATTCTTGCCTAAATGAAAAACTCGATACTGAAAAAAATGTCAAAAAACAAAAGAAAAAGGAGATATCAAAAGAGGAAGTAGATAGTAAAGAAAGTATGAAGGATAATTCTCCAAATATGAAGCAAGAATTGTAAAACTACATAAATAAATGAACAAATTCATATAAGTATCTTTTATCAATGAATTAAATAGAATGTGATCCTAATATACCCAGTAGAAATACAATACAACAGACTTCTGATCCTATATAAAAGTAATCTGTACATATTAGCATTGTTTATATACCTAGATATATATGTGCGATATTTATTTCTTTTTTGTACTGTTAAAAATTTTATAATAAAAACTTTTTCTATTTCATACATTGTAAATGTACATATTTGTAGAACATATCAACGTCAACTCAAATGTTACATTGAGGCTAGAGAGAGAAAGTATTCATATTTGATTCTTATATTTCAGACCATTTTAAATATAGTCTTAAAATGTTACAAACTAATCAGAGAGCTGCATTAGCATCTTTTAAAATAGTTTTAAAATAAGAACTGGTTATGAATAGGCCTGAAAAATCTCTGTAAACAAGTTTGTAGTCTTATTTTTTTAATCTACCAGAAAATAATTCTTAGAAGTATGTATTGTTTTATTAAATAAAAATAATATATCAATTGTATTAAAAACAGCATATCATTTATTATTTACAAATGAGATACATACTCTTCAGAACAATTTTTTTGTTGTATTTGCTACACTCAATTATAAATTATCTTAGGATGGTTTGGATTTATTTCTTAAGTACGGTGGTACCCATTTAGTTTTACCACGAAGTTGTCTCAAACGTTCGAATTCCTCCTTAAAGTCTTTATGCTCATCCCTAAACAGACCGTAATTACGCAGATGTGTCATTAATAGCTCAGTCTCTTTAAATCTTGGATAATATTCTACAATCTCCGGTCGTTTGTTCACCGGTTTCTCGCTAAAGAGCTTTACGACTTTCATCGATTTCTGATTAGTTGGTCTAACTGCTTCGCCAAAGATTCGATTACTCAGACGATTCATGCGCATAGCATAAGTAGTGCCCACATTCATCAGATTCACGTATTTACTCATCTTGATTGAACAATATTAGTTCTTCTGTTGTGCTAGACAAAAAAAGAGAAAATAAGGTTACAAATCGGAGATTAGAATGAAACTTTCTATGTTCAAGACAACCGACAGAAGTCAATTATAAAAGAATTCCGTATTTATTCACTTTTATAGAATTACGGATTAAATTGCTTATTTTAAACACGAAGAAAGAGAGAAAGGAATAGAAAAACATCATTCACGCACCATATAGAATCTATGCTTATTTCGCCTATGCGTACAGCGTACACATTCACAAATTGCACAGCTGATTGCACGTACATATATACAGCAGAATGACAGAGTACGCGTAGATAGAAGGCAAATCTATTAGCGCTTCTACGTGCGCAAAACGTTAACATGAACTACGTAGCCATGTTCATAAATATATCTGATGGTAACACCATTAACATGCTATGTCCATGCTCTTCTGGTTCTGTTCTGTGCTATGCTCACCGCTTCGATGATGAGTGTTTTCCGTTTGGTGACAAGTCGACACAAGTGTCATTCTATCTTTGTTGCTCTCTAAATATTAAGAAAGATGTTTGTCACTAAATGGAAAACATCCTACATACTCTCGTATATGTACGTACATAACCCTATCATCGAGATATGGCATCTTCTTATTACTTGCGACGTAAATTGATGCTCAGATCGGTCTATTCTTGATTCCGATGTATTCGTATGTTATTTATCTATTTATATAATTAATCATACGATCTGTTTTTTTCCTGCGCTGTAATTGATATTTATTTTACATTTGCTTTTTTACTTACTCATACCTTTTTGTATTATATTTATTCCTCAGTCAATTCTTTCTGGTCTGATTTGCATTATAATTTATAAGAGCTATCTCTACTTCCAAAGCCTATGGATTATTATTACAAGTTTTACCATTTTTACTGTACTCTGGAATTAAATTTTTTATCTAATTTTTTTTTTTTTTGGCTTTTCCTCGATGGTATTACTTTATATAGTTATGTGTTATGTAAATAATAAATAGGCTGGTCCCTCTCTCTTCTCTCTGGGAACTGCAATACGACGTCTTATCGGATCTATTAAAAAAAATGCTGTTTTCATTACTGTGTCCATTATTTTTTAATTCTTTTCCATACTATGACGACAAAACATCGTGCTACTTGCAAGATTACGTTTATATGGAAAACAAATTTATACGCAGCATCTACAAAACTATGGGAAATACGATAAACTTCGTTTAGACAACGATCCAAAAGTGTACATTTGAAAACTAAATAATGTAATCGACAAAGCAACGATTTTTTTATGTTTGTAATTTTAATTTACATATTCAATTTCTATTATAATGATGCAATATATCATGATCACAATATGATGAATGCATTTGAACGAGTTGTGATTTCTTACCAACGATTTTCTCCACAAATAAAATTTTTAATTTAATTACATTTTAATTCCACACAATATATATAACTAATAATCGGACATTGCAGATATATCTTTTCATTAGATTAAGTTCAATCCCTATTGAAAAAAAATCACGTCACACAGTTAGTTGCATGATGAAATCATGTAATTAAAATATGTAAATCACGTAACGAATTGTTTT